GTGAGGGATGCTCGGTGCGGGCGGCGGCGGCGGCCCCGGGGCCCGCCATGGTGTGAGGCGCTGCCGCGATGAACGGAACGGTCCCGTCGCTCTACGACCCCAAGGCGCGGGTGCTAAAGCTAGGGGAGAGCTTCGAGAAGCAGCCGCGCTGCGCTTTCCACACTGTCCGCTGTGAGTGCTGGGGTTGGGGCAACGCTCGGGGCTGCGGGGGTCGGGGTGGGGGGTTCGGTGGCCCCCGGTCCCCGCAGTCCCTCTGAAGGGCGGGCGGTGACTGCGGCCAAGCTCGGCGGCTGCCTCTGTCACAGGATTCTGGTGTGCAGCTGGGCGCTGAGTGCCCTGGAGTGCTGGTCCGGGATTTCGGGAGCGGCGCAGGTTTCAGTCGGTGCTGGGAGCACATACGGCCATTGTATCCTAGAACTGTCCCTCTCTATCCGCTGGGCACTAACTTCGCTTTTTATGCCTTTTCCATAGTGTCTCCCTGTAGTTCTGCTGGAAACCGAGCTAAGCTGAACCTGTGGCTCTGTTTTCTTTCCTTGCGCTCAGTTTTCAGAAGTTCCGTATAATTCAACAATCAAAGGTTAAAGGCGGGCAGCGTTAATCACGGAGCCAGTGCACCCTCCCTGAGTACATAATTACTATCTAGAGAGGTGTGTGCCCAAAGATTCTGAGGGTAGCTAGGAAACAAATGCTCCCAGGATTATAGTCCTTGGTAATTTAGGACTGCAGCTTCTGGTTTTGTTGTCTGGCTATTTATAGACTGATATCCCCAAGATTCAGTCTCACGTATGTTCTCTGGAGAGCGTCCTGTGTGCAAGATGGGTAATGTGCTCTGTGAGCAAAGGGAACGGCACTTGGGCAGATTGTCTCCAACTGTGGAAGTGGAGGAGAGGGGAAAAAGGCTATAAATGGATTTAAACAAATGCTGCAATTTGAAATTTATCCTAATTTTAAAGAGGACTAACAACTCTGTCTGGTACCTCCTACCCTTAGAGTTTCATGCTGACTCTTGTAATTTAATGATTTATTCTGAAATCTGTTTTGAAATCTCTCTTCCTTTCCAACAAATGAGACATAGAAACTGGCACATTTGTCTGTTCTATCAAATGCACATGCAGAAGAAATATCCTCCAACACCTGACTTTTTTTTTAACAGTTGAGTAAAAGGGAAAACAGCTGCTGGTTAGAAGTTAAGATTGGAAGTATTAATATCTTCATTTTCTCAAGTATTAACAGCCACGTGGCCATATGTTAAACAAATATTCTCTGATTTGATGAGAAACTGGAACGATTGTATGCTTATTCCTGTAAGACAACATTTAGAGGTTTGCCCTAAACAAGGTTAGCAAGGGCTGTCACCTGTGTCTGAGCTGCGAGCCTCCTGCTGCACGCACAGTCCTTCCCACCAGCTCCTGCAGCCTTGTTTTCCTGCCCGACTGTTGTGCTGGCTGGAGCCTTGCTTCCCAGCTGTGGTCTGTGCCTCCTGGGCCGTGGCTGCAGGCCGAATTAGGGAACTGGGAAGCTCCCCAGTTGCAGGAATGCCGCCAGTGACCAGCTGTGTGAGATGGGGCAGGCAGCGAGGCGGGGAGCGTGTGCCGAGGTGTGGCCATGGAGCGTGTGCCGGCCCATGGGTCCCCTCCGCACCTCCACCGGCATCCCGGGGTGCGAGACCCGCCCTGCCTTACCTGGAGCTGCAGGCTCAACCCCACGTTGCGATAATCCTATGTTTTCACAGGCCTTGAAGAACCTCTTGATGCCATCCTGTCTCCCTAAATAGGCACAGACAGAGTTTTGGCTGTAGCCTTTCCCAATTTATTTGTGGTGAAAATGATACTTTGTAGCTAATGGTATGTAACAGAGCTGCCATGCTGATGCCTGAACACATGCATGTTTGCAGTGTCTCTTGGAGTTTTGAAAAGGACCAGAAATCGATACCCTCTTTTGCTCAAAACTTACTTTAACCAGTACTTTAGATGATGAAAAAACAAAAATGTAAATAAATGTTAAATTGGGAAGGAATTTCACTTTAAGAAAAAATAACTATACTGAAACACCAAGTTTTTGTCAGGTTCTGACATGCTAGTTACAGTGAAGTCAGAAGCAGAAAGAGAAAAAGAAATAACTATTGATTCTTCTGAAAATAATTACATGAGAATTTATGTTTTGAAATATAACACAGCTTGTTTGGCTTTTTAACCATTAAAACCTAAAGATGCTTTTCTAATTTTAACTGAAAGATTTAAACACTTACATGAACCCTGAGAAAAGCAGCTTGAATTTGAATTCTACTGACTTATGGAATGATCTGCTCATGGGAATGGTAGATGATACACAAGCAAAAAAGGCTTTTACTTAATAGCCTCCAACTGCAATTAAGTGGTGTATGCATTTATAAGATTCCTGTAAAGCCTGTAAATAATCTAGTTTGTTTTTATATTTAGATGACTTTAAGCCTGCATCTATTGATATGTCCTGTGAAGGAGACCTTGAAGTTGGCAAAGGCGAACAGGTGACAATAACACTGCCAAATATCGAGGTGAGTTGATGTGGCTGAAGAGTGGCAGGCTTAAGGGAATGATTTATTTGGTTGTTCCAAGTATATATCCTGACTGTGGAAGGGTATAAAGTTTTAGTGCTGTTTCAGAGCTGCCTGGGTGATTTTTAGAGTAGAAAAACAATTGCTCTAAGAATGTAAGACTACAAAAGACCCAAAGGTTAATCAGCTGCACTGTAACTTTAAGTGTATTTGCTGCTCTGGAAATATGCTGTAGGATGACCCAGAAGTGTTGCGTACACAGAAAAGCTTTATGTGTATGTTGGCAGTGCTAGCTTCCCCTTGGTATTTATTGCTCTAGTGTAGTTCTAAAGCAGGAAAGACTGGAAAGGGAAAATTTACTACCTGCCATGCTTTTCTGCTCTGCTGATATTGGGACTGAAACCCCTTTCCGTCAGAGGAGCCTGCTCTCCTTGTGAAATAAGCACTTAATCAGTTTCAAACTAAGCTAAGTGAGTAAAATCCCATTTCAGTCAAACACTAGCTGTTTTTGGACATGGCTACTGTGAATCTCATTTGAGTTAACCAATAACATTTTTAATGGCTAGAAATGATCACTTGTAGTGAACTTGTCACCACTGATGGATTGCTGTTCCTAAGAAAAACGACTACAGGAGTAACACTTACTGGACTTCTGATTTAATAGGGCTCAACTCCACCAGTGACTGTATTCAAGGGCTCAAAGAAGCCTTACCTAAAAGAATGTATCTTAATTATCAACCATGACACTGGAGAATGTCGCCTAGAGAAACTTAGTAGCAACATCACTGTGAAAAAAACCAGGTGGGTGATTTACAGGAGAAACAACTGTGCTTTACTCATTGTGAAAATCAGTTTGTTAATGAGTCTAAATTGAGATATATAACTACATATTACTATTTTTAGGAAAACATAATTTTAGAAAGTACCTTGTTCAAAGGAATGAAAAGCCTGCTTTCTCAGCAAACTGACTTCAAATCTTTTGAGTCATAACTGCAGAAGAAATGGAAATTTATATTTGTTAATCAAAACATGTTATATTATTGAAAGAAATAGTAACTATTTTCTGGTGAGTTTAGAGGGAGGAAAACAAAGATCTGTTTGGCTAGTAGCTTGCCTACTGTCTTCTGACTTGTAAATGAGGAAAAAACCCTGAAAAATTTGTGACAGGTCTCAGCAATTTTAATGGCTTGTTTTTCTCATACCAAGTTTTTGTAATATTTTTTTTTCTGCTGCTGAGTCCATATAAGCAACTTCCAGCAGAATTATTAAGCAATCCTGGGTAGCAAGGTATAAAAAAAAAAAATCAATTGACAAAGTGTTATGAAGTTATTAGCACTGTATCAAAAAATCACTTTTAACACACATATGTATAATATCAATAGTATAATATTAATATGTTATATGTATTAGTATAACAACTGACCAGTATAATAACTTACCTAAGAATCTAATGATGATATTTAGAAAGGCATGAGAAATAAGTCCATGGTACCATATCCCCTGTGTTCTTGCCTTTTTCCTTGCATCTTGCCTTCTAGTAATTAAAAATCTTTCTCTTTTACACACAGAGCTGAAGGAAGTAGTAAAGTCCAGTCTCGCATTGAGCAGCAACAGCAGCAAATGCGAAATGCAACAAAAGTTCCAAATAACATTAAAAACTCTCCATCAAAAGAAAAAACGTTTCCATCTTCTCCTATGGATGACATTGAACAGGGTAAGCTCCACTGGCACATAAGTTTCAGAAACTTTGATGTTAACAAGCAATTGGTTTTTAAAAGGTTTTTGCATGTGCAGGTTGTTTTTGTTTTGTTTTGTGTTGAGTTTCACACTAGAAGCTGATTATGTGAGCAACTTTACTCTGATATGGAAATGACCACTCTGGCTCAAGTGGGTAAAAAAGCAGTATTTGTAGCTTGCGATAGTAAAAAAACAGCTGCATCATTAGACTTAATAATGCCAAGAGTCCTGGTGCTGTCTCCTTGACTCTGTCTTCCACTGCTACTTTAATCAACTGTATGGTTGGTTGTATTGTGGTACTGGAACTAAGTCACTTCCATTTTGACATTGCTCCTTTTTCTTTCTGTGCACTCAGCAAATACGTTACAGTACTTTACAACTCAACATTCACTTTATATTACCAGATAGAGCCCTGTGGAAGATGAGGTTCCAATGAAAAAGACAGCTAAAAAGCTTGCATAAATCAACCCTTGAGCAGTGCTATGTACTGTTTCCTTGAGAGACTCTGGTTTGGTGTGACACTCATATTTCACTTAATAGGAGGCCTTATTTCCTTTGGGAGGACAAGGAAGAGATGGCAGGTGGTAATTACTTGCTACAGAAATGCTGACAGGTGGCAGTTTCATTGACTGGAACTGACATCTGCTTCCTAAGTTGTTCTGAATTCCTTTAAACAGATTTTTTTAGATGTATCATTATGAAGATGATTTTTGTTTCCATTTTGGTCTTAGGCTCTGACCACCAATTTATATTGCAGACCAGTACTCAAATTCATCTAAGGTTTCAAAGAAGAAGGAAAACTTGAGCACATCAAATAAAATTATGCCTTTTCTAAGTGTTTTTGGGGGGAGTGGTCGTATCAAACACTGTGTCTCCTAAGTGGCTGCCAATGTACCGAACTTTATGTAGTGCCAGTCCAATTTTGAATACTATTTAAAATGCTGAAAAATTGAAAAGGATGGTAGAGATATCAAGTCATCTAGTCCATCCTTCTGTCCTAAAGTCAGATTTCTGATGTAACTTTTAACCTGTTCTTAGAATCTTCCACTGACAGATCCTTGTACTTGCTGGCAAGCCATTCCAGGGCTTTGCTCTCCTTACTGTTCAGGTTCTCCTGTATAAATAGTCTAACAGCAAACCTATTACTATTAAATATTTCATATTTATCATGCAAGTACAGAGCAGATTACTGTGCTGCTTTTGAGCAGTCCTTCACAGACTCAAACTCCTCTTTCCTATTCTTCATGCAAAATGACGCCAGTTGGTTCAATCTTTCCTTGAAGTTTACTTTCTAAATTCCTGATTTGTTGTCAATTTCCTTTAGCTTTCTTGCAATGAGTCCAAAAACTTCCTAAAATATGGTCCGTAAACACACCTACTGAGGTTTTAGCAGTGCTGATGTGACAAGAAGGCTGCCTTAGAGTCACTATTCATCTTTATACACAAAGAACAAATAGTATCACAAGACCAAACAGTATCAAGTCATTTCCGCACAGCCTGGTGTGGTAGAATCGTTTGTAGGAATCCACTGTAAATCTCGGACTCTTCAGAAGTGTTGCCTGCTTAATTATTCTTCATCCCATAGCTGTGTAACTAACTATTCCTGCTTAAGTACACTACCTGGAACTTGTTACTGACTTTCTGGGGTGGAGGGGAAGCTCATTCTGCCATTAATCCTCTAGTATGTGTACAGCTCTTCCTTCACTGGTTAAAATGACTTAATTTAAATTCTGTCTGATTAAATTACATCAAAATTCAAGGCAGAGATCTTATTTCTCAGCTTTTGGTTTTGGCCATTCACTTAAAATTGTTCTTATATTAGACATTGCTTAGGAGGTAGTGGAATTGAATGCTTAGGAATTGAGTGGCGTCTTTCAGTTAGGTGTCTTACAGCTCCAGATGTGTGGTGGGTCATGTTCTCTTATACGTGCCCTTAATAAAAGAAGGATGCTTAGATGCTTCCAATTCTTATTTCCTTTCTGCTCCCCTTCTTTTTTTCCTTATGTTTGAGTTGTCCAGTCTTTCAGTGCTCTTTCTTTTCTCTTCTAGCATTGAGTTAATTTGTCCCTGTAGCCATAGCTGCACTACTTCAAGTACCATTTTTCCTGAACACCATTTTCTTTTTGATTGGCCTTTGATAAAGATGGCCTTTCCTTTAGATTGGCCTTTAATAACTTATATTTCATAGAAGTTTGTTTTGAAGATTAATCTTTTTTTCCCTTCTCCCTTCTTCTTTTAAGCTTTGCACTGTCATGCATCTTGGTGACTTTCACCTTCAATCTGTTCTGTATTGCATAAATTTGAAGAGAGATGAGTTACTCTCCTACTTGCTTTATTGTGTCTGCTATATCAAAGCTGTTCCTCAAGTATTCTAAGAGCTTGTGAGACCATCTTAACAAATGTCTAGGTAGTTACAATCTTGTATAGTGATGAGCTTCTGCACCCTGTATAATTTCTCAAGTCCTCCCTCCACCATGATTCAGAGGTCTGTTTCACACTTCTCTCAGCACTTGTGTTCTGCACAATTATTATGTGTACCCTTCTGCAAAGATTGACTTCCTCTGTATGTTGGACTTATGTGGGAAATGCATACTGTGCAGCATTATTTGCACCTCCAAATCTATAATGAAACAAGGATATGGAGAAATCTTCCTCATATAAACTTTGGATGGTTCTTTTGGATATTCTTCATGCTTAACTTGATTTTGAGCAAAAGGTCACGTGGTCCAAACAAGTGTACTGATTGTAATGCTGAACTGCTGGGAGGCATTTTGGATGCAGTTGCAGACATCTTGCAGCGACTGATCTGTGGATTGTAACTGTAGTTTTTAGTCAGTGAAAGCCATATTTGGGGTGTTAAGGAAAACACAGAACATTTTGTGTTAGTTACAGAAATTAAAGGCTATGTGGGATGCATTACCCCATGGAATGCAGGGTTAAGTTTTTGTGTTCACAGTCACCCTTGTTCTAACACTTGGCTTGAAAGGGAGAAAGTGCTCAAGCTATAGGGGTAGAAAACCACATGATAGGCTGGATACTCACTTGTGCCCTTTTCTTTGTTCTGGAGAGCTTTGGTGGGTTTGGTCTGGGGTGTTTTAAAGTTGCTGTAATGTGTGCCTGATGTCTGTTGATGTTTTTTCCTTTTTTCTACTCTTCCCTATATTTCAATTATGATGAATGTAAACTGAGAAACAAATCATATTGTTTGCAGAGCTAAAAGCAGAAGCCAGTATCATGGACCAGCTGAGTAGCTCTGATAGCTCATCTGACTCAAAAAGTTCTTCGTCCTCTTCATCAAGTAGTGAAAATAGTTCTAGTGATTCTGAAGATGAGGAAATGAAGCCCTCTCTTCCTATGTCAATGCCATATTTGCAGCCTACTGTGTCTGCCATACCACAACAGGCTGTTCCTGACAAAGATGCCAGTCATAACAGATCCCAAGAGAGCAGTGGTCATATGATGAATACACTACGTAAGTACAAAGACTGTTCTTTTCTTAGTGCACAATTCCAGACATCAAGATTCTGAAAGGAAACCATATTGTTTTTAAGTATGTCTCTGTTATAATTAAAACTGTGGGAAGTGATGCTAGGGTTTGATTGTTCAGCAGCAGGCTGAATTAGACACTGGGCTAGAAGGTATGTGGTTCACAGAGATATTAAATTGAAGCTGAAGCAGTTGAAAATATTTCCTAAGCTGTTCTGGCTTCCTCCCAGTTCTATACATTGGGACTGGAGAACAGTAATTTTGTATTGAAAATACTTGAACTAACAAGACACTCCCTAAACATACGCTTATAATTTCTTGGATAAAACTATGGGAAGGATACTATGGTTGCAATACTCTGAGTTACAGAAAAGATGGTGTATTCTTAGCTGTGTCAGTTACAATTATTCATGGCAGTGTTCCACTGGCCAACATGGCAAAACTGTCCTTTGCATATAAGGAAGGAGGTGATTTGCTTTCAGGTGATATTATCTTATTCTACACATTAGGCAACTAAAACTGTAATTTGAAGAGTAGCTGTGATGTTCAAGAGGGTTGCTGCACAACCTGGAATTGAATGCTCAATGTATTCAAGAAAAGGAAAGTTTAGAAGACTCTCATATTAAAAAAAAAAAAAAAAAAATCCCGCTAGGCAGAGAAACTTAAGTTCACTACCTAAATAACAGGAGTATTCAGACATAGAAGTGAGTATTCAGCTATGATAACTCTTCCAGAATGTTTCAATTTTTAATTCACTGCTTAGCTGCCATATTGGTTTGAAGAGATTTCCATCAATCCTGGTTTGTAGCTTAAGAACATTATGGTTTATCATTTATATGTAAACTTGTTATACTAAAATTTTAGACTTGGGCAGATCTACTTTTATTTCAGCTCTTAGTGGATAACATGAATGACAGTTCTTTTATTTTCTTTTTTTTTTTTTAGCTAGTATTTAAATACTTAAATAACCTGCATTGATATTTAATTATGTACTGCATTAACAGATAAGATCAGACTGAAAGGTCCTGTGACTTCACAAGCAGAGAACTAAATGCTGCTTTCATTTTACTGTCACTGCAAAGAACAAAGTCTTCATGTTTACAATTTGTGTAACTTTAGAGTGCCACTTATTTCAACCCTTACTGACAAATGTGATTTCTTGTTCTCCACACTTTAAATAAAGTTGTTATGAAAATGTGATTAAGCTTTATCCCCAGTGACAGAATCTCAGGTGGCAATACTTCCAGTGGGAAATACAAGTACATGTGGTCAAGTCTACCAGTTCCAGCATAGGGAGAAAATGCTGCTTAAACCATGACAACATCAAGACTGTTTCAGGGGAAGTCAGTGGCTTGATGTTGCTTGAGAACTATGTTGACATGTAGAACCTCTGCCTGTAACCTTAGGCCTCTGAGTTTGTCCAGCTCTTGAGATTATTGCCATTTACTTCTATTATGGTTACAGATATGTTACAGTTTAAAACAATTCCACCCCTAACTTTCAGTGCAGTTAAGACTTACAGGACACTTCCACTAGTTAAAGATCAAACCAGCTACTTCCAAGGAGATTGCTTTTCTCTAGCTCTGTTGCTGAGTGAATTTGGCAGGAGCGTAAAACCTAGAGACACTAAATGGATAGCACATTGTTCTACTTTGAATGGCAAGAGTTCTCAGTCTGATTTTGTACAGTCATTTCTTCCACCTCAAATAAATTTTTGCAAAAATAAAATATTGAATCAACGAATGTCAGCACAAGCTGCTTGCTTGTCTAATCTTGCTTTGAGGTGTGTGTACTTATGTCTGTGACTAGTTTTGTGCACTTCTGTAGAATCAGGGCTATACCAGGTAATTAGTGAAGTTTTTCTTTGACATTCTGTGTGCAGGGAGAAGGTTGGGGGAAGCTTAGAGAACAGAGTTTTATCTTGCATGTAGAAATTATGCAGCTGAGATTTTGTAGAACTTGGAAAATGGAGGAGGTGGTGTCTAGAGCATGGTAACTAAATACTTCTGTCAGGTACATATCTACCTCTTCAGGAATCTTGGGCTCAAGACTGCTCCTCACTCCCAAAATATTACTTCTTCCCCTTTCTATCTTGAGAAGCTGATTATATAGGCTCACAACTTGCCATATAATAAAATCTGTAAATGGCGGCACTAATAAATCTGTTCTTCATGAATATTTGATCATATGTTGCTTTATGTCTACTTTTTGTTTAAACAAGGGTTATGTTAAACAAAGTAGCTTTCCAAAGAAAACCCAGCATAGACGGGCTATTCTGTGGCCTTGTGTTAGATACTTAGTATTCAACACAACTTCACCACTTTTGACGCCTGGTGCTGGTACAGACATAGCTGTTTCATTTTGACAAGTAATAATTTTCCCTTATATTAGCTTGGTGTTGGTGTGACCACTAAGATGTCTGAAACAGTGATCACTCCAATGAGTTTCCCTGTCCCCTGTAACTAGCAAGAATTCAGTTGAATATATTACATTCACTGATTTAAAAACATAGGAAATGTAATTTGCAGTGCAATCTATTTCCCCAATTAGTATTGCTAATAAGCAACTGGCACCATGAAAATTCAACAGTTCTCCCTCACTTTACTACTGCCGCATTAAGTACAATAGTCTAGATGTTTCTTCAGGATCCTCATTAAATGAGCTTTCTGTCTTTGCACCAAATCCATCTGAAAGCCACCAGCTCTTGTTTGTGCTATTTTGCCCTCTCTCTGAAGGAGTTTTTTGGAGATAGGGTTGTAAAAATGAGGCAGAAAGTTTAGCCTGAAGTAAATCCTAACATATTAATTCTGACTCTGGAACTTTGAGTTCTTGCTTTTCCCATCTGCTGGTTTTCTCAAGCATTGGTATTTTTGGCTAGTGTTACAGGGTTTGTGTAATTTCTATTAACTGTGTTGAAATAACTTTTGAAGGCTGAAGAAACATTATTTATAAGGTTATCTTCTTGTTCACACTCCCTGTCCTCCCATAAAGTAGGTAGTGCATAACAGTGCTGGGACTTCTAAGAATTCACAGTAGTTCTCCTTGGAGTGATAAATAAAGGAGTTTAATTTACCAATACCATTCTATTTCTTGAAAGATCTTTTAGGATATTACATTGTTATGAATAATTATTGACAAATAACTTGATTTTGTTCTTTCTAAATTGCTTTTTAAATTTGTCTTAATATGGCTGTAAATTTTTCCTCTATATAGATGATTGGAAACAAAAAAAATGTCTACAGTAATACTTCATAAAGATTGCTGGAAACAACCATCTTCACTATTCTTTTCTTATATAAAGTGTTTTTGTTGTTGCAGAGAAACATGTACCACTTTCTAAGCTTTACTGCTGACACAGTGGAAAACAAAGGAAGGCTAAATGCAGCCATGTTAAAGACTCCAGTGTTCTGCCAGAAATTATATGCCTGAGAATAAAAGATCCAATCTGTCTTGTGGGGTTTACCCACTTGAGGTTACTTTTTCACCCATCTGCAAAAGGGGTCTGTGAAGGGTGCTGCAGCTGAGGAAAGGGCATGTGAAAATAGTGTGTTGACTCAGTTTTCTCAGTTTCAGTGATTTTTCTTTTATTTTTAGGCTATTTCTGCACAGCCTGAGATTATTGGTTTATTTCTTTTGTAATGGTTGTTTGGCAAGGGAGGTGTGGGTAAAAGCATACCAGTTGGAACAGACTCCTAAAAACGTGTGGGAAGTTGCTAGATATGATGTAGATTGTGTAGAGCATACTGCTGTATTTTTTGTTAGTTATCTGTCATCCTGGGAAGATTCCCCTCCTCCCACCCCCTGAGTTTATGGACATCCACAGCAAGCACAGTGTAGTCTTTTTACTTCCTCATTTTGAAATATATAGAGAGAGAGAGCCACCAAATTAAAGTGCTGTGTAAAATTTCTTTTGATGTTTTGTTTGCTCACTTGTTCCAAAACCAGTTTGAAATAGTAGGTCACTGATACATCTTTAAGTGGTACGTCAAAGAGCTGCTCTTCTTGATTGAGACACCACTTTGTTTTCAAGCACAGCTGAGTAGCATTCAGACGTGTTTCCAAAAAAACCCAACAACTTGTTTTTCATAAAACTGCATTCACCAGCAGTTTTTCCACTTGTGAAGCATGAAAATGTGGGTGGCAGAGATACTTAGGTGTTGTCTTTTGTGATCTGGTGATATTAAATAAATGCCCTTGTGCAAATATGCTAATGGCTTCCTTGCCAAGATTTTAAAATTGTAGAAAAGTGATCTCTCTAAGGTTCTGTCACTGGGTGTGTGGTTCTATACCTACTTATTCTTTTATCATAGAATAGTTTGGGTTAGAAGAGACTTGAAGGATCATCTTGTCCAGCCCCCCCTTACCTATTTCCTATTAGCTTTTCTAAGCCTTAATTGGGAAAGGGAAGATCTTGAAAGAAGAAAATTATTTCCTTGAAAATGACTAATATATTGACTCTTTCTCTTCTAGGAAATGACTTGCAGCTGAGTGAATCTGGAAGCGATAGTGATGACTGAACAACTTTTTGGCCTTAAATGTATCACCTTTTTTTGCTAAATAAGTCTTAGCATCTGTTTTGCACTAAGATTAGATTACCAGAGACTGGAATGAATGTCCTCAATTTTGATAACAGACATCCTAATTTTCTACTGACACATCATGTCTATAATACAGCAGCATTGATATCCTGTCAGTGCTATGGTTATGTGTTTATCTTTCAAATTACTGTATTTACAGTAAAATTGTGTATGATCTGATTTTGATTATTTTTGCCTCAGCCACCTGTTTTACTTGAAACTGATTTGTAACAGCTAGTTACTTTATATAAATAGCTATGGAATGGAGAAATTTCTGATATTTATGGAGGCAAGTTTCCTTCCTATCATTTAACTGCTGATCTCACAACTTTGACCTAGAGGGAGTGAAAGGGAGAACAACTAAATGAGGTCTGCCATGTCAGCTACACTTTTTGTTCAGTTCACAGTTTATACCTTTAAGGAAACTGCTGAATAATGTGGTCCACTAGTGCAGTTACAGTTTACAATTGTTCAACACATTGCTGAATTCTTAATTTCATTGTATAATCGGACTTTATATTTCTGAGCCTCAAGATTCCTAAGGGAACTTATCTATTCTCTGCCTGTTTTATGTAACTTGAATAGGGCAGTCTTTTTACAACCTTTTTGTATCTAAATTTAGGTAACTGCAGAGACAGCAATGAATTTCCTTCATTCAATTCTGTAATGGAAATCAGAAAATTTCTTTGTGGAAGTATAAAAGTAATTTAATAAAGCAAATGTCTATCATTTTCATGCATCAGATTGTTTTTACTGATTAAGAATTTTATTTTCTACCTAAAGTAGTCATGCCAGTGAAAGGGTCAGGAAAAGAAATAAAGCAGTGAAATAGTAGCTAATAAGGATCTTCATCCTGTCTACAAGACTGAAATGTTTGTTGCTTTTGTTACATTGAGGTGACTCTTACTAAGAGCTTGCCAAAAGTTTTTGGTGGTGCAACTGAATGTTTATTACGGATTATATCCAAATGCCAGTGAGAGGTAGTACTATATTAGACAACAAAAGGTCTTATTTTTTCCACATTTGAAATTATACTTCATGACCTGAAGAACTAAGGATCAGACTCCAAATTTCATCCTGTAATTTACTACTTAAGAGTTTTGTAACACTAGCAAATGTCTGTAGGGTGAGTTCTGACAAGATAAGTCTGTTCAGTCCTGCACAGAAGTCTCCTTTGCTGGATTGCAGTGATTGGGTCACAGTTGTATGTCTAAACTGAGGATTGAATCCCATATGTCAGCCTGAATGTGCAGACAAGGAAAAAACTGCACACTCAGTAAATGTATACAATAGATGGTACTATGAGAGCTTATTCTCTGAACTCTGCTCTATCAGCCCAGTGAAATATCAGAAATTAAATTAAATATGGGAAATGCTGCTTTTCAATGCTTCCATATCTTCTGCTCTGCACCAGATCACAGCTCAGTAATCTTCTGGCTCTTAAAATTGGTATCATAAGAAGTAAAATGTTCTTGTGTTTATACTTACAGGAAAAAACTCAAGTTAATAGCCATGGGTGAGCAGGTGTTAGAAAAGGGCTAATGCACAACCTTCAGGAAGGTTGCTATGTAATAACCCCTGTAAGACATTTGAAACTTGAGGCAAAGGGGATTGAGGGGATCTTCCATAGATCCTAGCTGTTGGTGTGGTAACTCTGCTAGAGTGGCTCTTGGCACATGCTGTTGATAAAGTCAGCTATGGCAGTGTGAGGAGCTGAGCTGTTGCTCCTTAGCACTAAGGAGCAGCCCTGTGTGCTAAAGGGGTCTATGACAATGCAGTGTCCTGAGTTGAAATGTCTTCTCTTTGCCTTTCCACTGTCCCCAGTGCTTCACTTGCATGAAAGACTTCCCTTAGGATGATGCTAAATTCTAATTACAGCCAGAATGCTGCTGTTTTCACTGAACAACAGGGCATTCAGGGTGCACAGAGTGAGCAGATGTGTGGATGCACTGACCAGGCCACAATCTAAATCACACAGAGCACGTGTATTAATGGATTATAATCACTCCTTCAGTGATATAACTGTTGAGTACAGTCTGTATATAACTGTGCTCACATGTATGCAGGTGCTTAAAATATAGCTCAGGGAGTAAAGCAGATTTCCAGGTTCCTGGGTCTCAGGACTGTAACTAAGCCTGAGCTATCTTTAGGATTTGATCTTTGTGTTGAAAGCTTTCTAGGAAGGGAAGAATGTTATTGAAGCTTTTGTGTAGCATGTACTACAGAGTGGTTAGTGGCCAGTCAGGCATTTTGTCAAATGCACAATTATGATAATTCAGGAAAGCTTCCCTCTATAACACAACAGGAGATAAGATTCTCTAACAGTTCTTGAAGAGATAAGGGTAAAAAGATAAAATGTAAATGCATTAAAGATTAAAGCTCTGCATGCCATTTCCAGCCCAAATATATGTGATTGGCTCCCCCATTATCCTTGTACCTGTCAAACACTAACAGGTGAGCAAGGAGCTTGTTCAGCCTCCTCATGCAGAGGATTTGGCAAGGGTCTCATTTGTGACTTGCAGGGGCTTTTCCTCCCCTAATGCTGGGGTTGTGTGCACTGAGCAGTGCTGAGCCTCCATATCTCCTACTGCAGGTTATTCCCAAAAGACACGAGTGAGAAGGGGATTGCATTGAGATTTTAAAGCAATTTTCCTTTTTTTTTTTGACCCTGATTTGAAAATCATATTCTTCTCCCTTAAAACCAGTTTTATTAATGTGATATCAATATAACTAGAAAGTAATAAGTAACAGCTTTAAGTTCCATGACCACTGTTCCTACAACTTCTGAGTATCTCTTTCAAAATGACTTCAAATATATTAGGCTCTATCTTATTTCTTTCAGTTATTTTGTCTTTACATTCAGAGATTTAAAGCATCTGTGTGTGTATCTCTAAGGAGCACATACATTTGAATAATATTTTGAGACATTATATATTGTACTGTAACATTATAATGAAGCTATTGTGTATGTTTTGGATTTGAAGAACAGCTGCTTATCACTTATATTGATAAATCAAAAATACCTTCACAATGCAGCTGAAAATTTGAGAATTTTTAGTCTTCAGTGCTAACGGCCACTGTAGTCACAGTTCACCTGCCCCTTCTCTCTGCATGGCACCTGGTACAAGCACAGTTTGTCTGGGAACTACTTCAAGGTTGCAGTATTCAACTGCTGTTAATTCCTGAAATGGATTATGTGTACCAGTTGTACCTACCTTGTCTGGAAGCTTCCAGTTTTTTTAAGAACTCTGTCCAACTCTTGTTTTTCATTAATCTTGCCTTGGGGCATATGGGAGGCTGGGGTCATCTCTTCAGGGTAGCTCTGGCACCACTGTATTCCATGATAAACACTGGGATTGTCATATACTTGGGGTTCTCTGAAGGCAGAGTATAATAATTTTTCAGATTAAAGGACTTCATTAAGTCACTTCTGTGCTAACAGACAGAAGTGTCTGTTACCTTAGGAATACCTTAAGATCACCTTAAGAACAGAACCACTGTATTTTAAGAAGAATTATTTGTTGGGTCTTTACTGATTTCTGGGGAACCAGATATGAACAGATCATCTCAGATAATAGTTTGATTTGGTACTCAAGACGTTGATCCACAAAAATAATATAATTTCTGGCCAACAGTTTATTTTCTTTAGAATTTCTACAGGAAGGTTTCTAAGCACAGCCAAGCAGATGGTTGAACCCCCCTTAAACAGAAGAGATGAGGATACATAAACTGGACAGAAGTGAAGAAGGTCAGAGGAAGAAAGAGAAGATTACTTGGGCCATGATGGTTGCTAGGCTGAATGCTTGCAGAACATGTGAATTCCTTCTCTCACCACTTTTTGAGGTCATTCTGCCAACTGCATGCAGTGCTAAGGACAATTGATATATATGGATTTCAGATCAGCTTTTTGAGGACACGTAAAAAGAAGAATGAGGAAAGAGAGTTTTGAATATTGTTAAAATATATATTCCTGATGCTTTCATGGATGTAGGTGACATGCAAAAAGAAGGTGAAGATGTGCTGAAATGAGGAGAAAAAAAGTGAGAAATGATAATGTCTTTCACAGTTTAGACCGCAAATATGATATAAGCAGCCATCCACATCTGAGGGAGGATAGAAAGACTTCTGTGTATCAGCTATTACTCTGCTCAGTTCAATGAAACTAGAGTAACAGCTTTTCCTAGTTAACTTGTTAGCAGTAGCATCCCAAGGCGGCAGCTCCTTGCTTACCAGATATATGCACAGCAGTGGGCTGAAGTAATGGAAGTCTCTAAAGCATCTGTTACTGTGGGGTTTATTTCCCCACTTGCAGATTCTCATAATGGAGAAAAGCTCCTGAAGGGCAGACTCAGAGCTCAAGGCTTGTGTTGGCATGGGGAACTACTCGGCTCCAAAGCAGAAATCCGACTTCATACAGGGTTTGTGTAAAACCAGTGCCACATCTGCTGGGAACAGCAAGGGCTTGGGCTCTAGTTGTTTCTGTGGTTTTCTGGATCCATAGAAGAAATGAGTATGTTCTCAGATTTTCCTTCTCTCAAAAGCGAATCCCTCTGCTGTGGTGAGGAAGGAATGGAGGTTAGAGGCAAAGATGAAGGAGCCTTTCATTCAACAGAGACGGCTTTGTTGATGTACAACACATACCTGGTGAGTTAGCTGCCGAGACCTCTCTTGACTCGCTTTGAACAGGGGCCCTTGTTACAGAACCTGTTCTCCATCTCTCATCTCCCATGTGCTGAGCAGCTTGGCTTGTTCTCGTAAGTGCTTACGCATGACAGAGGATTACTTGCTCCATCTAAGAGATGAGGCCTTCTTTATGCTGTTATTTAAAGTTTAAAGAAAAGTGGAGTATTTTAAAAAGGTAATTAAAGAAGACCCAACAGCAAGCTAAACTCTTCTTTAATATCTTTAGTTTCACTTCCACATGCTGTGTATCTTGTTCTACCAGTTTCAGTGCTCTTGCAAAACAGTTGCACAATGGCTTCCTTTCAGCAACCAGCAGAGTTAAACTTCATTGGATGTACATTTTCTAAGATGTGCTGAATCTCCAATAAACTCTGCAGACCCCCTATTTCCTTGTGCCTTTTCATTGCTACAACTTCTGAAATAAATATTCATGGACATCCTCATACGCAGCTCCCAGAGTCATGGGAGCTGGTTGCAACTTGAAAATACCAACTCATCCCTTATCCAATTACCTTTTTTACATCTGACTCCTTGCACATTGGCAATTTATGAAAAGATTTAGGCTTTTACCAGAGTTTTGTTCCAAGTGTTTATTGTAGTATTAAAGAATCTACCACTGTGAAGTATTCCTAACAGCTAAGGCTGTTTTAAAAGCCAGTGTCTGACTGAGATTCCTCCTTCAAATAAAAACATGTTTGTGCCAGTTTTCTGCAATGAGGGCACAAAAGACTATTTTGGAATTATCTGTCCTTCGGCAATTCTGCTGGAAATGTCTTTGTGCGCCTTATGATCCTCTCCCACCACTGTGTGGAATAACTTCCTCTCCTATGCTGCATGATGACCTGGGATTTTGGGGTTTTTTTTCTGTTTTGGTTTTTTTTTCCCCATGTGTGAAAGTTGACATTTCACTAACATTTTATAACTGTGTTTTTTCAGAAATGCTGGTCATCAAAAATGTTTGCTAAATGTGACCTGAAAGCAGGTGGGGAAAACTCCATGCAGATTATCACCTACACTTGTGTTACTCCCTTGTTTTAGCTCTTTCTCCCCTTACAAGCCACACTTGGCTTCATAGTTCACCAATATGGTGTTTGTCAAGAACAGTGATGATCAGTGGCTATGGCTATGTTTAACTGAGGATGTAAGACCGTTAAGCTATTTAAGACATTCTTTCCACAATGACTACATTTTAGAAAGTACCACCTGGAAGGAGTGTACTGAGCTTAATGGGGACTTTTTATCCCCGTAAATTTGTAAAACAAACTGACTACTAAGAGATTAGAACCCATCCCTACCTTTGTACTTTCCATTTGACTCCCTCCTGGTGATGAAACAGCAGCTACTCACAGGTGAATAACTGAGGGCCCCAAGAGAGAAACTTGTTAAAATTTTAATAATGTGTCGCCTATATTTGTAGTTCTGTAGAGCTGAGCTGAGTGAGCCAAAGAGTTTACCATGTTACATCAGAGACTTTGATCCAAATCACCTCCACTGTGGAAACAGTACATGCTCATGCTGCACAAATCTCCCTAAAGCAAACAAAAATGCATGTGAGATTGTCTGTGCTGTAGAAGAGAGCGATTGCTGCCAAGTAACTTCAGCTGCTGTTCAGTGGGAGCAGCTCTGTGATGGGAGGCTGATGAAACAGCCAGTGTGTATGGGATGTGTGTGAAGATGGATGTAATGATGGATTGATCTGATACTTCTGGGACTTTGACAGCAGGTGCATTTGTTGCTGGAAGTGCTCAAGCTACAAACTGCTCCTTGCTGTGTGGTAGCTGTGTCTCCTGGGTCTTATCAGCAGCTCACACCACACAGAGACCTCCTGCCTGATAGAGATGCTCAGCTGCAAGAGGCTGCCTCACAGCTGTGTTTTCTTCACCTTGTGCTTCTTTGACAAGAAGGATGGGCTGTACAGATGGTAAATTTGTTTTCCAAGCTAAATGAAAACTGTAATTTCAAGCTTGCTTGGCTTGGCACTTCTCACAGTTTTCCAGTTTACAGGGCTAGTGGCAGGGTGCTCATCAAGGAGAGAAATAGTTTGGTCATCCCACAATAAGGTGAGGTGATTTTTCCAGGTAGTGCAGTGGCTCAACAGCAGGGATACTCACTGCTGGACTCTGCTCAGGTGACAGAGCCACACAATTTAACACCCAATCAGCTTGTTGCACTACTACAGTGTTCCTAGACTGCCACAAGCCCAGTTCCAGTGAAATCAGGCCACTTGGCCTCACAAATTTATTTTCCACCATACTAGTATGAGCTTCCCTCCTCCCTTCTCATGCAAGAGAGTATTTATGCCACAAGTCTCTCACTCCACTCTTCATGTAGCTATTCTGTATTGTTTGATGCAAGAGTATTTTACATCATCACTATGTCTCTTCTGACAAAGGAATGAGGCCCAACCTTCCTAAAAATGTGCCAGTTTTGAGGCATAAAGACCATCTTAGAAGGGAGAGAAACCTTGGGAACCAAACCAGGTAGCACTTTTCCCTCTGAGTCTGAGTTAGTCACACATCCAAGCTCACAGTCCTGTCAGGACATAACCTACCCAGCTGCATGGTCTCCCAGTCTCCAGCACTACTGTCCATGAGGAAAGAAAAATCATAAAATGTAAATGTTTGAGTCACAAACAAAGGGTGGGTGAGTAGGATTAGGCGAGGCTGTGCTGACTAACCCACCCCAGAAACAGGCAAATATTGCTTCTGATTTGTCCTGAAGGAAATGGATCTGGTTGTGTTAAAGCTCAAGGTGGTGTTGAAAGGTGCTGTTGACTCTGATCCTGGGCCACCCTGCCAAAATGATATCCCAGGCCTGGATCTGTCTGGATTTAGACAAAGACATCATAAAATTAGTGATAAAAAGCAAACCAGGAATATATTGTTGTTGCTGTTGCATCTGCCAGTCAAATCCCTTGAGGCAGAAACAATTTATGTGTGGCCCAAAATGACTCATTAGGAGCTGTTTCAAACAATTGGTGTCTTCGTATTGAAAAGGCAAGTCCTGATGAAACTGGCAAGGAAGCAATTTCAGATTACTTTATACTCTGCTTTGTAAAGCTATATGCAGGATTAATGACAGTTTAGTACTAATTGTGTTTCTCTGGCAATTTGCAGAGAGACATTTGTCTGACTAGAATCTTGTTCCTGCTTTTAACATTTCTAGTTCTTGAACAACAAAACAGTTGGAAATTAGAGCATTGCTTTCTCAAATTACTTTATCTGGGCTTTCAGGGTATGATACAATTAAGTATTTAATTGTGAGGCCCTATATGGACAGTGTAAAATTTATGTATCCCCAACCACGGTGCAGCCTCCCCCAGACTAGAGTGTGACGGCTGTTTGCTAGCAACCAGCAGTACCACAATAACTCCTTGGGAGCAGCAGGCTGACATGGGGCTGGGAGGAAGTGAGATGGTCAGGGCACCTTTAGCAGTAAAGCAGCTTACCTGTTCAGTCACGCTAACAAACAGATGCAGAAATACAAAACTGTGGCTTCTTATCACAAGCAACACGTGTGAGCGAGGTCTGAGACTTGGCTGCTTTGAATTTCCAGGAATTAGCTGGTAATGCATTAGCTGTGTTAAGATAAACTCCCATGTGGGCAAGGCCTGCTGTTAACTCTCCTTTGTGTGTGCGTGCTGAGATAGAGGTAACTCTGAAGAAAGATCATTTGGTGCTGCAAGTTCTGGTCTCAGCTTCAACAAGATAAAGACAGCCCTTACACAGCAGTTATTCAGCAAAGGCCACTTGTTCAGTGCAAGGAAGAAACGGTTGATAAATTTCATTTTTCATTTACAGTGGCTTTAAATGCCCTTGAGTAGGAACATGGATTTTAAATTCTGACCATTATTTAAATTACTTGTAAAATTCTAACTGACTTCCATCTGATTAAAATGACAACTTGAATTTACAAATATCCAAGTGGCTTTCTTCAGGGCATAGAAAAGCAATTTCCAGGAGGATTCAATAAATGCACAATGACATCCGCAGTCCCTGTTCTCAGCTTATTTTGAATGACTGGTGTGGTTTGGTCTTTCTGCACTTCACTCTTCTACTGATTACCAGCAGGACTGTTCATCCCCATGCACTAGCACAGCTGGACTATCAGTGGCAAGAGAGTAAAGGTCCTGGGAGCATTCCACCTCCTGGAGGTTTTGGTGCCTGGACATGGGTTGAGCTAGAGCTACTCTTCAGATTTTCTTTTCTTTTTTAGTTGCAATTAGAGGACACCACAATTGGTAAAATGCTTGTAGGTTTCCAAAAATCTAAACTTGTCATGCTGAATAGTTCAACCTATTTGACCAGACTGATCCCCAATTTTGGTTTGTACCTTCTCTGGGCAAACCTTTCCTTAAGCTTCAGTTCCTCCAGATAAAGAGTTTTCCAAGAGCTTGTCTTTTCCCAAAGAGCTATAGTCAAATTCTGGTGATATGTATATATATCTTTCCTTAAAACTGGTGTTTCAGCACATGTCACTGGGGGAGCAGTTTGTGGCATTTGCGTACAAAACAAGAAATGGTGGTGTGTTTGGGAATAGTTTGACTCCCTGGACTTGTGGTTTGCAAGGAAATCTGAGGCTATTTGGTTTGGGGCCTCTTTCCACAATTTTCTCAAATCTGTTATTTTTACATGCTGCATGCTTTTCTTTTTGTGCAGCCACAGTTTGCCAAGGAAGTCAGACCATTTTTCCACAGCCTCAGACTGAGTGGACAGAACCTCTGGGGCTTGGGATGGGAAGCAGCCCCATGACAGCTGGTATTGATATCAATTAGAACTCAGAAAGCTCAGAGGGTTTCCCACAGTTAATCCACAGAGCAGTCCAGAGCAAGACTTTTTACTAATAGATTTCTTAATGATTTCCTGGGTGCCACCAAATCCTCTAACCAAGACACTGAGGATTTGGCACCTAGAAGAGGACTGCTAGCAGCGACAGAAAAAAGACAAATAAGAGCAGAGGTTTTTGAAACATATCTTACCTGGGGGAACTCTGGCAACAGTTGTACAAACACTCAGATGGCAGCTGCATGTGCCTGTATGCAGTGGGCTTGATTCCTGAGCCATGACTGTAAGCTTTGCTACTCTCCTTCTCCACAATTCTTACTCAAGGACCTTCCCCTGCCTTGCTCCTCCAGCGGGGATAACGAGCCTTAGCACTCACGGCCAGGTGCCAGACTCAGGAGCTGCCCAAAGTTTTGTTGCATTTGAAGAATGACACATTTGGGATCTCTGACTCCCTTTTTAAAAGCACTCTTGGTGTTTCAGTTCATCTTGTGATGTTGTTTGACACTGTTGAGAAATTAGACCTTGCTGTTGATTTACACATGTATGTCTACATATGGGTGAGATGAGAGTAAATCATGAAGGGAACTATTTCCTTCCTCAGCTCCAGCAGAGATTGCCACGGGTCCCAAGGACTGCCTTTCTAACAGAAGCCTTGGAAGAAAAACATCAGAAGAAACAGACAGTTAGGGGTAAAAACCTCTAACTTTAGCCTGGAGAGAAAGTGGCTTCTGGAGGACCTTCTTGCTCTCTGCAAACAACCTGAAGGGAGGTTGTAACCAGGTGGGGGTTGGTTTCTTCTTTCAAGCAGAAGTGACAGGATAAGAGAAAATGGCCTTGTGTTGTGTCAGTGAAGGTTTAAATTGGATACTAGGGACAATTTCTTCACTGAAAGGGTGGTCAAGTATTGAACAGTCGGCCCAGGAAAGTGGTGAAATCACCCTCCCTGGAAGTGTTCAAAAGGCACGTGGATGTGGCATTTTGGGACATGATTCAATGGTGCTGGGTTAACAGCTGGACTCGGTGACCTTAGAAGTCTTTTCCAATCTTAATGGTTTTATGATTTTACTTTGCATTTTTGTTGCTTGCAAGATGAGAATTTCTCCTGCAATTCCCAAGATCTGCTGCAAGCACCTCATCTCACAGTCACCCTCACAGAACTCCTGACACAGCCTGAGAGCACCAGGCTGGCACTGAAGATGTTTTGCAATGGCTCTGCAGGCATTCAAAGATTTGAAGGTAGTGACGACAGATGAAAGCGGCAGGGAAAGTGCTGAGAGCTGAGCAAAGATAAGCACCATCCTGGCCGCAGGTCCTGGCACCCGCGGGGGTCCCGAGCTGCTCCCTGCTGGTGCAGTTTTGGAAAACTTCTTCAGCAGCAAATGTCCGGGTCTCCTCAGGCCTCTGTCAAACCCTGCTCGCTGCAGGCTGTCCTGACAAAACCTGATGTTTCCCTGCCGGGGTGCCCCCATTCGCGCTCGTTCCCGAGCTCCGTGTTCCCGTGGCAGGGGAGCCCTGCTCTGGAGGTTCCCGTGCCCCGGAGGCCGGGGACAGGCCGGGGATAGGCCGGGGATAGGCCGGGGATAGGCCGCATTTCCCCGGGTGCCGTAGCTCCGTGCCCCGCAGGTGCCGGCGGCAGGCGGCCAAGGCCGAGGGGCCGGCGCCACCTCCTGGGCACGGCTGAGGGGGCGCAGCCGGGCTGGAAACGTCCGCACCGCGGCTGCGAGGGCACGTCCAAATGCAGTCCGTGCTCGAAGAACAACCAGATTCCCTCAGCCTGGCAGCCCCGTTGGCCTGACAGCAGCTTGGAGGAGAGGCGAGCACTCAGGAGACCCCTCAGTGTTGTACTGTGTTTTGTATCTGTGATTTCTTCCCTTTCCTCACTTGGTAACATGGACTTTTGTCCCTTCCACACCGGTGTTTCTCAACGCGCTCAGCTCGGGGCAGAGAGCCCAGCGTGGTGCCAAATGCTTTGCCAGCTGTGGAAGAAGGTGCTGAGGGCCGAATGCCGGCTCTGGCATGAGAGGGCTTCGCAAGGGGCAGCGTGTGCCATGCAGGCCTAGTGGCCTTGGACTTGTTCTGCCCAGCAGAACGCTAACCATGAGAACACAGTAAAGAAGATGTATCACTCCCATTGGTGTCAGGAAGGCATGGGAAGGACGCTTTTCCTGGGCAAAGGCAGAGAGATGAGCTATGAAGGCGCAGTGCCCCTCAGACACACCAGGGCTGGGTGAGTAGCTGCTCCCTGCCCCGAGCGGGAGCCAGAGCAGGCCGCGCTGTGCTCCCCCTGTTTCCAGGCAGGATTGGGCTTGCGCCAGGCAGGTCAGAGACTGGGACTGCTGGGACCTGTGCCTGTCTGTGCAGTCATGCCCACAGAGTCTGTGGAGGTGTTCAGTAGGGATCATCTTATTTGCACTTTAGAGCCTCCCGAATTCAGTGCCTCTCAAGGAGGAAGGCGTAATGCTCAGTCATTGCTGAGCATTGACTGAAGGTGGGGTTCTGGGGACCGGGATTTAGCAATCATGCTGAGATTTCACAGAGCTGTAGGAGTTAGGAAGAGGCATGAGGTACTGCATCCTTGTTCCCTCAGTTTACTCAGGGTCAGCCTCGAGAGGTTTTCATAGTTATCTGATAGATCAAAAAGAAATCTCATCAGTACATCCTTGCCCCGATAACTGCTACTCTGCATAGAAGGAGATGGTCTGCAATGAACCAGGCAGCCAAGTAACCGGTGAGAAATGGGAGATTTACACAAATGAGTTTAATTTCTTGGTTAATATACACTGATGAAGAAAGTCTGGCCTAGATAAGCTTCAGGTATGCTACTGTGGGAATGCACAATGAATATAATGAAGTCACCCTCTGTGCCTTTGGAAGGGATTAGCACTTCCCATCCCACCCTTCTGCTGTCTTCCCAGACTGCAAGCCCTCTGTTCCAGTGCCTGTGTCTCACTAGGTGTGGGGATGACATCTTGCACAATGCAGTTGTTATATCTGGTGCTTTTAGGCACCAAAGAGCAATTCTGCTAATGACTGTTCCTTGCAAGAACCCCTGTGGTGGTGCTTCTGTTGAAAACCAGGAAACTGTAGAAATAAATCTCTTCCTCTCTAGGGTGTTTTGTGGTTCAAGCAGAGATGGAATGCAAGGGGCCACTTTTGCCTTGCGATTGGCATGGTGTGACTGTAGGTAAGTAATTTCTTCTCTCTGGAGTAACTTCACATTTCTGAAAGTCTGAGAAGCCTGTTTCTGACATGAAAAATGGGTTGTGGAATCACTTGTGTAGCAGTAAAGTAAAGGAGTGTTTTGTTCTTGTTCAGTTGTCTTTTATTATTTACCACATCAAAGAAGAAAGTGGTGGAGGTGATTAGCATGGGGGAAATACCTTTTGAGGAATATAAATTCACTGAAAAATACAGTTTTGTAGAATAAAATTATTTGTGAATCTGGGTTGAGTTCAGTGAATTGTTTTGGGCAGAAATGAAGATGGAGAACTGTTTCAAGGTAGGGTTTTTCTGACAGCCTCAGAATAAAATGTTTCATGGAAAGTGATGTTTGTTTAAATCACTGCAATTTCTAGGAAGGGAAATGGGACCTATAGTGTGGCCTGGAAGAGGCAAAGGCTCAGAGTTGGCTGAAGAAGCCTGAAAAAAGCCTTAAACTGTCTGAACTCTGACTAATTTATGTGTTATGATAATTTCTTTTCTCAGCCATCATTCAAAGCTCTATGTTCTCATCCTGATAAACCTGGACTGATGAGAGGCCTCCCTGACATTTTTCTTATCTTAGAGTTACAGTTTGCTGCTGCTCCCACCTGCAGGAAGAATTTGGCTTGCACCTCAGTGAAGAACACAGTGGAGTGATAGCAATTTCCAAAGAACTATTTGAAACTGATGACTGTATCCTGCAGATGAGCTTTAGAATACGGAGTGAGCCCCCAGAAGGAGCTGCCTTCCTTTCTTCATTGAGGTGGAAGTGCTCAGCATCACCCTCTACATACCTCTGACACAGATTTGTGTAGCTCCAGGACACCAAGAGGGAGCCCTGCTTTCTGTGACAGTGCCAGACTCAAGCTGTCTTCACTTGTGTTGTGTCCCTGCTGTGTTCTAATCTGTTTGAATTGCAGATACATTGTCTTATGGGGAAAAACTCCTAACAGACAAACCCTATCTATCTGTTAGTTTGGTACTGAGCCCTTATGCCCTGAAGGACAAGGAAGAAACTGCTGCAGCAATGACCCAAGATTTGGTGGTGACTGTGAGGTCTTTTTGTTGGAAAGCACTGCTTTTTTTTATTTTTCTTTTTTTTTTTTCCCCTCCTTGAAACTGAGGGACTTGGTGACTATAGTTGTTTATGTTTGAATGTGCTGATGGGGAAATTGAGGGGTCCTTCTGTAAGGACTTGATTAGTAAGGGTCAGGAGTGATAAAATATCTGGAAGACATGTATACCTCCTCTTAAAAGCTGGCTTATCAATCAAATGTGGATGTCAAGGAAGAAGCAATCTCTTCTACGTGCTGGATAGCATTCTGTGTGTCCCTGATGCAGCAGTGGCTCGGATGAGCTCTGCAGGTAGGACAGCCCGTGAGTGACACCACTGCTGCAGTGGGCAGACGCCAGGCTCACACACGCCAGTCCCCGGGCTGGCCAGGCAGTGGCACTGAAAGCAAAGCTAAAGGCCAGACGTCAGCCCTGGCAAGGTGTGCGCTGGTACACGGGAGGTGCGGGGCAGGCTCTCTTGTGCCGGGAGGGTGGAGCGGGGATATGGAAGGGACGTTCTCCGTCCCTTGCCATTTGGCAATTTGCTCTGTTAGCCCAAGTGCTCAGAGTACTTCTGCACTCCCAGCTGGCTTCCTGGGGCTGTAATTCACCAGGGCTGTCACCAGAGCAAAGCAAAGGTCTTTGTTGCTCGCTCAGTTTTCCCTGCAGAATGACAGAGGCTTCAGCTTTCCCTTCTGCAAGAGAGGTGTATTTTCAGCCTTCTTTTTATTCTGCTTCATCTTCATGTCCCATGAAAGAGATGCTGACTTGGCTCTGGAGTGTATCTGCAGAGTGCCTGGGTGCAAAGAGAAGCTGGAGGCAGAAGTGTTGTTAAAAGCACATGAAAAGAAGGGAGTGTCTTCATGGCAAAGGTTCTCACTGTAGCTAGTGATAAAGGCAAAGATTTCCTATTGATTTTCTAAATTGCAGAGTAGGCACAATGCAACAAATGGTTTTGAGCTGTTGTACTTGAAATGCCTGAAAATATTTTGATGAAATAATTTTGTTCAGAAAATACTTCTCAAAAGGGGGGTGGTTTTGATAAAACTCTATTTGGATCAAGGACATAGAAATGATTGCATGCTCTATTGCAGTGCAGAGCATGGGAGTTAACAGGACAGCGGGAGCTGAAAGAGAATGCTGAATGTGAGTTTGGATTAATGTATCCCAACTTTGTGTATCAGGCTGGGTTTTTTTGGGTCGAGTTTTTATTGATTCATCCTACTGAAACAGTTCCACTTTGTAGAAGAGAAATATTCACTAGCCCTGAGGAAGCTGGATTTAAGACACTGTTTGGTTGAAGCTGTGATGTTTATGCAGTGTAAAGAAGCTCCAGCAGGAGAGATGGTGGCATGCACAGTAGCCTGCTTGGAGGAGACCTGCTGAAAAGTCAATCTGGACTTGAGGAGTCTCACCCTCTCTCAGTTGATAGCCCCTCACCACTTGGGTACACATGCATTTTTTTTCAGAAAGGATTTGAGAGGCTTTGTTTTTATTTTAAAATGGGATTTTTCAATGTTCCAGAAATCTCTCTTGTGTTGGTAACCCATTTTCTGCCCAATACTTGTTTCAGTAGAACAGCCACGGGAGTGAAATGCAGGATTTACTGTGCAGCGTGTATCTGTGCAGTATCTAATGGAACAGGACAATTAAACTTCAACTCAATAGGTTTCTCTTCTTTCCAGATAAATTCTAAATTCAGAACATTGCCCAGAAGGCTTGCTAGAAATCTTTGAAAATACATGAACCTAACTTTCCTTTCAAACTGTATTATGTCTTATTGGTGAAATAACCAGGTGAGCACAGAGCAAACTGAACCCCTGACCTCCTTAAATTAAAAAGTCTCTCTGGGTGAATCTGAATTAAAATAATCCCACTGGATAGACAGGCTCCCTTTCTGCTTTGGTTTTGGAGATCAAACACTGTGAAAACAATCTCTCCAACCTTGTGCCCTCTTTCAGAGCACCATCTGCCTTGTTCTTGTACAATATCTTCCTCACTGGTGCTACAGATAGCCCCCTCCCATGTGTAGGGACAGAAAGGGTGATGGGCCAGTGCAGATGTGCTGTGGGTTACCAGCTGAGTCCACTGACTATCTGAGTGCATGTGCATTGTTGTTCAGATTGTTCTTACTGCAATGTGGGCTTAACATCTGCCCAACCACCTTTGGTTGCCTTTAAGTGCTATTCTTTCCTCAAGATGTCTTTAAGGAATGCCGTTACTGCAACTTGACTTCCTCTGGTTTTCCAGCCTCTGAACAAGAAATCAATTTTACCTAGTGTGTTTGGCCTGTAAATGAGCAGAAGAGTCACAGGGGTTTCAGTTAGCAGTGGTCTGCACTCTGTATCTACCACATCTGCAGCACTGAAACCAAGGTGTGCAAACAGACCTCAAAGAAGCCTCTTTGGCCTGTGAGGTCCTGTGGCTTTGTGTAAGCAGCATGCTGAGAGTCCATGAGACAGGAAGGGATGGAACAAAGGGACTCAGTCTGTCCTCAAATGCAAGCCAAACTTAGTTGGGATGCAGAATGCAATTTTTCTTTCACTGCTGGCTTCACGCCTCTTGCCAGGTGGGAAAGTTCAGGCAAAGATGGCAGTTCCTGGCAGACCCAGCCTGGCTGCCTGTGCCTTACATCAGCATTCCTCTCACCTAACAGGTATATTGCTTTCCTCCTTTGCTGTCTGTCTCTGATTGATGCTGTCATTTGTGTATTGAGACAACCAGAGCTTATAAATCCTTCCAAATACCCTGTTATTAAAAAGGGATCTCACCTTCAGCTTCAGGGTGGTGAGAAGGGCTCATTATGCTTCTGTTTGCTGTATTTGTGCAGGCAGTGTCTCTTGAGGTGAGAGGTAGCACTTGGGTGTGTGGTGTAATGCAGTCAATGAGTAGTTGCATGTGTCAAAAGGCATCTTGAGGGCAGGCAGAGGTTTCAAAGGCAGCAGCCTGCAGAAATTGAGATGTTTGCATCTGCACTGTGAGGGCTGGCGGTGTGGAGACAGGTATTTGTGATTTCCGAGTGACCGCTCACTCCAGAGCAGTTCAGAGTGATGGCAGCAGACCAAGGACCCTTTGTTGTTGTTCCTTTCCTGAGGCTGGGGGTGAAGATAGGTGTAAAACCAGAGGCCCAACTTAGCAAGTGCTAATTCTGCCTCACAGAGCCTGTCTGCAGGGCCTGAAACAGCCAGGATGAGCAAGGCAGGCGCTGTTATGAACCAATGAGAAGCTCCTCATCCTGCTCCCTTCTGTGTCCCAGGGGCTCTGCTTCCGTAGGGGAGGGCAGGTGTGCACCAAACATCACTTACAGGCTGGAATACAAAGATACTTATGTGAAGAAACATCCGCATACAGATTTAGCAGTACTGACTGTCTGCTTCATGTCACCTCCAAAAAACCCATGAAGCTGAGGCAAATGTCTATCTCTATGCCCACGAGGATTGAGTTTTCCTGCATTCTGAGGGTTTCTTCCCCATTTTTTATTATTTTGCCTCAGGCAGAAGGGTCTGTTTTAGGGCCAGTGCAATAGCTATCATAACTTTCTCAGGCTGACACATCAGTATGGTGCCAATCATGGTTATAGAGACCCTGGGACCACTTCATCACAGCAGCTTCACTCCAAGGCTCCTTTTAATCTTTCCTAATAAAATTTAAATGACAGTAGCTGTTCCAGTCATGAACCAAGAAAAACCTCTTGTATTATTTCCTCTTTTTTTTTTTTTTTCCTAGTGTTGGGCTCTCTGTTTTATAGTGGCTAATTTATATTATATTATATGAGAGCTAACATTTTCCAGAGATGGCTATGTGAGTCTGAAAGAAGTGACACTTCTTTTTAGTGACTCTCTTCTCAGCAGATAGGATTTTTCTAGAAAGATGTGGAAAATTGTATAGTTGGGGCTTTGCCATCTTCATCATAATCCAGGCTGAGGTTCCTGAGGCTTGTGAGTGGTTTCCACCAGGAGCTGTCATTGAGCTTGGATAGGTATTTGTTGCAGGTTTTTCTAATCAGCCATGAGAGATCTGACCCACTGGTGATGCTGAGGTACCTCTCAGTCCCACATTAAATGAGGTGAGCCAATTCTCCTCATATACTTCCACTTTTCTCCTCTCCCCAGGGGAAGATGGCAGAAGGAGAAGTTTAAAAAAACAGCACAACCTTTTCTCTTTAAGCATGAGTGGTATTAAATGGCCTGCCCCACTGGGAAATGGGCCTGGCACTTGGAAGGAGAGATAGAGTGGTTTTTAGCAGATTTTTGGATCCTGCAGGCTGCACAGTCCACAGACTTGGACCAGCCCCTGAGAAAAAAAATTTTGGCACTAAAAGTCAAGCCACAGACAGTCTCAACCTTCCTAAAGTACAAGGAGTCAGGGGGCTGTTTGGAAATCCTGTGGCTTGAACCTTTGTTTGAGCTGTTTCTAGCACTGAACACAGTGGGATTGGAGCAATAATTTGGATTATGCCCATGTGTTCTGCTTATTTTCATTTAACCTGCTGATGGCCTATGCCTTGTATTGCTTTTCAGATCCACTGAGAGTAACTGCTCATGACTGCATTAGTGGAAATGGATGTTTATGACTGATCCCTTGGTGGTTGCAAAGCCCATCATGCTTCATCAAAACATAACACTCGGTGTGGTTCAAGTAAGTGTTTTTTTCTGATCTGTTCCTCAGTCTGTTTCTAGCAGAAAGCTGGAGAATGACCAGAATCACAACAGAGTCTTGGAGGGAAGGAGGAAGGATCCTGGTGTGTGTGTGGGGGTGTCAGTCTGGTGGGGTGGATGCTGCCCCAGTCCAAGCACCCCATGAGCAATGAGCTCATGTGCTGGGGTTGTGTGCTATGGGAGGGGAAGTGCAGGGTTGCTGGGCCAGATTCCAAGCATTGCTTTGTTCCCTCCATGTCATTCATAAGTCATAAGGCTGGAGGCAAGGCAGGAGACTGCATTGGTAATGTGAAGTCCAAGTGCTGTGGCAAAGAAGTGGGAGATGGTGACTGATGTCATTATTCATTTTTCTTAACCTCTCATCCAGTGAATTTTCACTGGTCTAGTATGGAGAAGACCTGCTCCAGGTCCTACACCTGCCCAGACCTCCTCTTTGACATCAAGAGTTTTTCTTTCTTTTAGCAATTGGCCCAGTCTCACTGGAGAGAATGTCATTGAATTTAATAAAGGTATCTTCCATCTCCTTTCTGTATGCACATCAGGGAAGGTGATATCCAGGACCTTATTAATACTGCAGAAGTGAAATGTCACTGATTCTGTGGCACAAGCAGGCCTTGATTTACATGAGTATAATAGAGATCAGACTGGGATCCTCAGACTTCAGCGTCAAAGGCCTGTAGAGTTGGATTACAATTTCCTCCTTGGCGATGGAAATGAAGTCCTGGGAGGAAATGAGTTGTTTGGTCTCATCTGAATTCTTGCTGAAGTAGTGTTGCCTTCAGAAACCCTAACTGGCAGCCAGTGCCTCTCTTCTTGGCAGTCTTAGCGGGAAAAACAAAGAATTAGTGATCTGGGAACAACATTTTTGGCATTTCTCAGCCATCCATGTTATCTCATTTAGCTAAAAGGAGGATTGTTACAAGGAACATCTGTGGTGTCTGGGTGGAGGATGAGAGAGCATTTAGGAGACACAATGTGCATCCTAACCTCTGTCACTTTCTGGAGTCAATCCCCAACAGACTGTCTTTGAAGGAGATGATGTATGTTAAGTTTCCTGTCTTCACTCAATATCCATGTCCTTCCATCAGTCTGCACCTTTCTGCATGACTGTTTGGCCCATACCCACTGGCATCATTGTCCTCTAGTGCTGATACCTTGCCAGCACGGCTTGCTTGAGATCTGGCCTTTAGCCACACCGCATGTTTCTGAGGGACTCCACCTTCAAAGACTTCTGGCCAAACAGTATCTGTGTCAAGAGCTTGGATGTTACAAAGCATCATCAGCTCTTTCACTCCTAAGTTTCTTCCAGCTGGGAAGCAGAAAATTCAGAAAATGGTGCCTAGACTGCTTTGCTGACAGTTTTCAGTACTTAGTACTTCTCAGGTTTTAGGAGCTGTGGGGGAAGGTGAGCTAAGCTCATATGTCTAAGGGATCCTAATGGGAAGGTAAGTATCCTGATCCTTTGGCCTGTGGAAATTGTTTTCGTGGTAAAATGAGAGTTCTGGCTGCTGCTTTTGCAGGAGATGACTGTGAAGACCGTGTATGTGGGTGCCTGGTGGCTGGACAGGCCCTGGCTGCTTGTTCCCTTGTGTGTCAGTGGCTCTTACCTATTTCTTATTATAATGATGTTCTTGGATACCATTTATAAACAATTCCCTTCTGTAAGATTTTTTTTTGTTTTAAATTACAGCAGAAATGAAGAAATTATGGGAAAGTTGGCATAGTTTCTATTTTTCCTCTTTCAGGTATATGTTCTCTTATGGCATATGTACTTGCCCCATTCTAAACTGAAAATGTCCCCCTAAGGGTTGTCTCCCCAAGGACCACCTTGTTCCCATTGAGGCAGAACCAATGTCACACATGCCATATAGGCTTCTGGCAGCAGTCTGAGTAGTTCAGGGGCTGTTTTCAAGGTAGGTAGAGACCTGGCTTCTCATTTTCAAGAGACCAAATCCTTTTGAGCTCAGTCTAACCCATATAAAGATTTTACAAGAGGCCTAGGGTTTGCTACAGACTAAAGCCATGCAGAGACACATTCTTTTTTTACCATGTGCAGTTTCTAGCAGAGAGAATACAGAATTCTGTTTATAGAGGACTTGGGTGTGAATTATTACCTGTGAAGCTTGAAGTCAAGGTAGTGGGTTTTAATACTAATTAAGGCAAATGTCACAGCAAGAGCATGCTGACGTTGTCAGAATTAATGGCCCAGAGCATTACTACTTAGCACACCTTTCGAAGTTAATGGAATCGTATTAATTGGGATCTTGGAGGGACTGAGGGACACAGAGTACATCACTCTTGAGCAGCACCTCTGTTATTACATTAGAGCTGGAATAGCATCCAAGTTCCTCTTGCCTTTTGGGCCCTTTTTGCACAATCATTTCACAAGTGCATGGCTCTGATAAGGCCCAAGGGAAGGTTGTTTGGTTCTAGGGTAAGAGGTGGAAAAGTCTGTTCCTGCTGTGGTTGCAGAGAATCACTCTGCCTCCAGAAACCAGTGCTGAGGACTGCCAAAATGCCTCTGGCACAATTCTGAAGGGACCAGTGATGTCAGGAGATATGTGCAAAAATATTATGTACCCTTATCTCTGAGTCTGATTCTGCAAATTCATCTCACCTCTACAGTGCTTGTTCCAATGAGCATAACCCAGGGTAGGGGTGCAAAACACAGTGTCAGAGCACTAAAATAAAAGTATCTGTCAGCAATTCCGAGTTCTTTTGGATATTGGCCTGCTGTGGTAGCACTGAGACCAGCACAAGGCATGGTTAGACCTAATGCCAACAAAATTCTAGTTTTGAAATAGAAAACAGCAAATCATGGAGGGTATTTGCTTTCTTTGGGAAAAAAAAAAAATAAAGAAGAGAAAAGCCTGAGGAGCTGATACTTAGAGAAAACCAAAACTCAAGGCTTTTAATACAGTGCTGTGAGCAGATGAGGAAAAAGAAAAAAAACCCTTTTCTACTGAGGATTTTGATTCTAAAGCAGAATGTTCTCATTTTCATCCAAGTTTTCCACATGGGGGAAATAATTTTTAAGCATCTCTCATATAAGTAATTAACCATAGATGAGAAATGGATGATTTCAGAAGAAAAGGAACACATGCTATCTTTAGATAATGGTATTAAATCCATTGTGCACTGGAATGGAAGTTTTTATGATACTGTAGATTTTCTGTGCCATATTATCCTTCTTGAGTTTAGTTTTTAAAAAAGATTCCTTAGCTATGATAATTTTTTTTTTGTATTAACAGGAGTACAATTATTAATTGTCCTTTGCAATGTTACTGGTATGTAGGCTTGTGATTACTATTGACTAAATTTGTAGGATTTCACATTCTTTCCTAGATTAGCATATGGAAAACATTCATATTTACTAGAAATGGTGATGATTCGATGTAAGCTCAGTCACCCACTGCATGGAAGTAAAAACAACTGTGTGGTTGAACCACTGCTGCCCAGATGGGAAGACCCCTCTCAGCTCTAGCCTTGGAGTCTTGACTGCAGTATCTGTTCAGAGCTCATCCCATATGGTCCTGGTCAGCTGAGCAGGAGCCGGAATATGTGAGCCCTAAATCTGTTACGGACTTCCGCCATGATGTTGAACACACCTCAGCCTCACTTCTGGGTTTGCTGTGCAGCCTGTAACTGGCTGTTAGGGAGGGCAGAGTTTGCCAGCAAAAGCCCTTCTGCTTAGGGCAGTATCTCTCAGGGCTTGTTACCCTGACCTGAGGCTGCAGAACCGCTTTGCTCCCAGGCAAGCGCAAAGTGCTCCTGGCTGTTTAAATCTGTCGCAGTTCTGTTTGAACTGAAAGATTCCTCTGTTCCTCAGCAGAGTGTGTTGTAAAACAGTGACATTTGCTAAATGGAGAACACGTAGGGCAAGGACTCCATCAGCTCCGAGGAGACAGTGAGTAATGATCTCTTAATATCTGAGAGCTTTAAAGCTACTATAATATTCTTCAAAGTCAGAGTAGTGTGGTGGGGCCCTGCACAGCTATCCTGTGTTCAGGGGCAGGTCGCCACTGAGCACGCAGCCAGACACTGCTCTTCAGCATCATCCCTGCAGAGGGAAGCATTAGTTGCTGTGCAATGTGCATCACAGCCCAGACAGATTTATTATTTACTTGCAAGTGTTCCTGTAGCACCCATCACTCAGCTGGTTACCTGTGCCTGCCAGACACTGCTTCGCACTTGGAGTGGTGTCTGCTCTGCCCTCTTCCTGACACAAATCAATGTGCTAAGCTTCAGTGCATTTGGGAATGAGGTAAAAGTTGCACAACTGTCACCACAGGAGGAGGAATGGAGGGGAAGGTCATGCCTGTGATTGAACAGGAGCCTGTGGTACAGTTGGACATTGGTCTTGCTGTTTTGGATCCCTCAGACTTGAGATGCCAGTGATCTCTATCTGAAGCCATGGCTTCATCTTACCCCTTGGGCAAGGTCCTGGCTCTGCCGAGCTCAGAAGAAAAAACAGGGCAATAACTTCATTTAGGCTGACTGTCTCTTCCCCTCTTGTGTCAGTCTCTTGAGCTGTCCTGGGCAAATGCGGAACCTGCAAAGGCTCCCTTCTCTTTCAGCCACCATGACCTCTGCTGCCACGCACAGCACAAGGGTGAGCTGATCCCTGTCTGTCACATGAAGATGCACATTTATGCTATTTGAAACTTGGCCAGATAACAACTAAGTGGTAATGAACTGTGTGTTTTTGGCTTCAGAGTCTCTGGGACAGAGGGATAGAAGCAGAGAGATGATTTATATCCTCAAGCCTGTTATTTACAAGCAGTCATGCTCCTCATCTTTCTGTAGACAAATGGAAGGAGTTGTAAATTTGCCGTACACACTCCCTTGAGCTAATGCTTATGGGAAATATAATTTAAAACGTTCATTTGTCCTGGAGAACTGAGCCTGAACCTCACTGCCATGGAAATAGGTACAAAACCCAGGAATAGGTGGATACATTCTATACCATCCTTAGTATAA